AGTGGGAGCTGGTACTCGGTGACAGCGCCATATGGTCTGTCCACGAGTTTGTTGGAGCACGTCGCGCCTGCCTTTGCGTACGGATAGAGCGAGAAGTTGCCATACATCGCGGCATAGACCGGCCACGCTGTACCGCCATCCCCGGTTTGGTACTAGGGTCGGATGGATTGGGTGAGCGTTTGTGTACACGTAATTCTATGGACTGACGACATCGGTGTAGGAGTCGCCGAATGTCACGAGATTCTTGATCCGGCCTGGCTGCGGCCCTTGCGTCGCAGCAAGCTGTGCGGCGGCGAGGACGACAAGCGTCGTGAGGAACTCGAGGACTGCCAACGATTTGGCCTCTGTACAGAGTTGAGGACTTGCCTCTTATACTCACGAGAAGCACTGGTTGTGTCATGGGTTCGTGCATGCAACCGTCAAGCATATGGTACGGACGAGCGCGTGATCAATTTATTCGGGCCGTGCTCGTACAGAGGGCACTATTGTGCGAAGGTGAAGATGTCGAGTTCAGTCTACATGACGACTTCTTCCCGAACTGTGGCAACGCACTGAAGGTTGATGGGAAATGCCACTTGCCTGGATCTTTGAGGTCTTCGGCCATCACGTTCATGAATCCCATACTCTCTGGATATCCGTGCGCTGATGAACACCGGCAGGCTTCTGCCGGCTAGGCCCTTCGAGTAGCGAGGCAAGCACTCTTCTTTTTGAGCTCGAATTTCATAGAGCTGTCATGTGAGGCATTGCTGCCATAACGCTGTTAAGTTCTCTGTGGGTCTACGGTTGTTGGCCTCACTTTGATGCGGTGAAGTGAGCATGTGCAGCCGCGGCGTGCCGGCATGAATGTCTAGGATGATCGTGGCGCAACGGTCATGACACCGAAGAGATAGCGCGAAGACTGGCTTTATTGATCTGGCGTGGATTTGGCGATGACCTGGGGAGAGAATGGGAAGAGAGCCCCTGTGGTAAGGAAATCACTTATACCCTCGAGCTATGGCATTGATTGATTCTTCGTCTGCCACGCTCTATTACATCGGTCGCGGTCCGCCTTGCAAAAAAAAATGACCATTGGCATCGATGATGGCCGCGGGGCACACACAGAGGCTGGCCATCGAGTCCTCGATCTCGTATTGACTGATCAAGACTGGATGGTTCAGCACGTTGAGCAGTCTCTATGCGCGAAAATGCTTTTGCGTGTGTCTATGTACCTGCCCAACGCATCAGAATTGAAATCTATTTCACACGATATGTAGGCTCCCGTACAGAGGGATTGTTTCGTCAAAATTTCACACCAGCCGCGCCGGTCTATGGATAATCGGCATTACAACATAGCTCAGTCTGACGTGAGGTCAATTCCCACGAGTACTAATCATATAACAGATAACAGGAACACACCATGATATCAGAACGCATGCGACAGGTCGACGACCAGTCCCAACTATCATTACCAAGGTAGTAACGTATGGCGCGAGCTCATCCCAGTCGTTTGGTACAATAGATGTAAGAGCGTTCGATGTAGAGGTGCGGTGGGTAGACCTCATGGAGAGGCTGAATGGAAAGGACGGAATCGGCAGAGAATGCAGTCAAGACGTACAAATGAGTGCAATGCAATGCAAATTTGATATAGAAGAATGACAAGGCTCTGGTGGACATGAAGGAAAAGGGTATATATTGGAAGCATACAGGCGGAGAGGTGTGTGTGTATGAACGCAGTGTACGATTACCAAGGTACCAAGACATCCTGCCTACGTATCCCAAAAAGGTCCATGCATGAGTATGTGGACGGAGTGCGAAGACCCAAGAGTCATGTTGGGCGAAGGAAACAGCGCTAAGGCGGCGCTCGAATATTGTTAACTTATTTAGTCATTGCAATATTCTAACATTATATACAGGTATTATAATGATGCGTATCACGCATATGGGCGCCAATAAAAACATTATCAATATTGCAAGTCAAACATTTCGATGGGCACCGCCCTCGTCATGATTGTCTTTCATCTACGTCACATAACATCTCAGGAATATTTCCGTTCGCTTCTTCTGTGAGCCCGTTGCTGTCCAGCCTGAGCATGCCGAGGTGCTGGACGCGGACGCTCCTGACTCAGAATAACAATCACTACCATGCTCTCTAACTTGGCGGGCACTTTTGAATCAATGCAATCGAGCCTAGCTGTGGACACTGGAAGACACATTAAATTGAGATACTAAAGCACAAGATTAGCACAACTACTTGTTTTCAAAATCCGACTTGCTAAACTTGTCATCTACATAATGAACACTAGCAAGCCTTGAGGGCTGCACGATTCCCTTGAGTGAGTTCTCGTCTGCACGCAGTCGCTGTCTTTACTACTTTTCGCCGACTCTGTGGTGATATGGATTACCAATGCTCTAGTGCGGGTCCACAAATCATATGCCTGGACACATATATGTGATTCGTCGTGCCGCGCGCGATTCTCTTCGACAACACAATGATCGCAAGTCGCATCAACTCCTCCGAACGTACCATGGACGCGGAGCTCTTGACTTGGTTGTGCCACAGCTTGCGGTGCGTAGAAACAGTACATCTGCCCTTACCTTTGTATATTGACTACACAGTGCCGGCTTATCCGCTGTCTACGATCGTATGCTCTCTACCTTGGCTCTTTTATAACGCGTCTTCATGCTGTACCCTGCGAAAGATTATCCAATGACTGCTTCTCGTTGCGAATACTGCTTCTTCTCCCTTATACTGTTTTATCCTCAATAGGAGGATGCCTCATTCGTTTGTACTCATGCAAACTATGCTTCCGGCATACGGACCATACTATGTGGATAACATCTCCCGTGTAGTGTGTCGCGCCCACACCCGCTATTACGCGACTACTGATCCATGGAGGACTTCCTCATGCAAATCGTGGTTGACAGATCAAGTTCAGCGGTGATCTGGCCAGTTGCTGCAGGAAACGGACTAGTGGCCTGCATCAACGAACGCCCGGCATGTCTAGTCCTCATCCACCCCTCTGGCCTGCTTTTCCTTGTCTTAGCATGCAGCACTTGTAACCGACAGCCCGCTGGCCATGCTGTAACAAGTATTTGCCGTACAAGATTGGCTGGCGTGTGCTCATCCCGACTGCTCAAACGTTCATACTTTACATTCGCAGTTGCCTTATTGGTCCAGCTGTGGCGCTATCCCACGCCCGCTCGTCTGACAGCGTCTCCCTCACGTTTCCACCTTACGCTGGACACCTGAAGAAGTATGAGGCCGTCACTCAACTGTCTTATCGGTGACCATACAATCTAAAGAAGCGAGTTTGCTATCTCGCAGGAGATTGCGCTAAACGTTATGGGTTCTTAGTGAGTCGTCCTGATGTGGTGTCGCAGCCGTCCGCGTTCTGAGTATGTGCATGTATGGTGTGCTTACAAATTCCATTAGGCCAGGTGTCAAGGCTATTGAGATCTGACGACGCAGGAAACCCATGTCATAATAGAACCATTAAGGACGCTACAAAACATTCTGCATAAGCACTTTCTGGCAAATGCAACGTCGAACATTCTACACGCGTTAGTCTCGGAGACCGTCACTGTGCGCCGTGCTCACTTTCATGCCCTGCCATACAATCGTGCCCTAGGATGCCATCCTGCTGGTCATAGTTTTCGAGTACGGCATCCAGCGCGATGATCACTACACATGACAAGGATGGTTCTCCGGACACTCCAGCCTCACAGGCTTTACGATATTATGTTCTGGTAAGTCTATTAACATCTTCTCTGAGCGCTATGACGTTGTAGCATTTGAGCTCATGCGCGTTTCCGTCGATGGTCCTTCTGTCTCACGCTAACGAATAGGTATCGCTCTCTATTCCCACAATATGATTCACGCAGCAAGATCAGAGAGTTCCAGTAGAGTTTGCGCGGCTGACAGATTGTAAATACAGGTTGTAAGGTTAAAGCGCGCGTTGTACCATCGTTGTTATGGCTGTGCATCCCCCTTATTTTTCACCCTCCTTGCATGGGTCACATGATATTCATCAAAGCTATCACGGCCAATGTGACAATCGGACCGGCAGCAGGGACTCTTCTCGCCCGCGTGCGCGCGGTGTAGCTGGTCAGTGGGACTGAACCACAATCTACGTATAAGGTTCTCAATCCTGCGTCGGACGTATGCAGGTTCGTCGCTCCATTCGGTAGCAACTGCTCTACGAGCGATCTAATGCAACAGCTTGACCACGAGAGACTATGACTAAGTCGAGCAAAAGTGGAATGGTTCACGCGCTGACGTGAGACAATGCGCAATGACAAGGTTTGGTGTGGTCGTATACATGAGGCATTAGACGCACGAAGTTTGAATGATGGAGGGCGCGGCGGTATACCACACCGGGATGGCGCAGTCTGCATATACCAATCTGAGGTGAGTGTTCCGCCCTCTAAACTCCGTAATCTATCAGACTTCATCGTCGTCCATGCTGCAATGACGTTTCCAGTTGTCCGGTTCCATACCGGCGCTGGAGTGGAGCCTCATAAGACGGGCAATCGCACATCTTTACATTTCCTGGCGATCGCTCCACGCTACTCCCACCTAACAAATCCTCAAATCCAGTAATGTCGAGAACACGTAGACGTAGCGGGTCCAGAAAGGCTCGGTCAACGTCTACCTCCAGAAGCCGTTCAGGCAATGGCACGACACAGGGCTCCACGCTGGTTACCCGAGCAGGTCCCAGCGAGGGGGTGGGCGAATCTATACCTTTGAAAGAAATCAAGGTCCTCGACCGCGATGGACAGCCTGCTCATGACGCTGATGTGAGCCCACTGATCAGGAATAGTCAAGCTGATCGATTCAAATGTATAACACTTTCCTTCAGATGAATTCAGTACAGAGTCAGCAAGAGGTTCGTGAGGCGATGCTTCCCTATCAGGCTACCGTGGCAGTGTTCGAAGATAACGGCACCATGCAGGTGAGCTACGTTTACGCAAGCGTGTCTATGATACCAAATAATTGTAGGGACTGGGAAACGGCAAAGATAGCGAAGGAGACGAAGTAAACGAAGCAAACGGGGTTATGACTGAGGGTAGGGCGTTAATAGCCGATACATCGCTCACTATCGGTGCACCCTCCGATCACAATGACTCAAGGGAAGTCTCCACAGATGGAAAATTGGACGAGGAACTAGTGAGGAAGGTGCTACAAGACGCGCTCGAAGCAAAACGAAAACAAGAGGATCCATGGGTGAAGTGTGCGAAGGAGGTGTGGGAGTTTGAGGAGTCGTTGGTAGAGAAATGGAAAGAGGACATCAATAACCTATTGCTCTTCGTGAGTGCTTTACTCTGTTGCTCTAAATTATATATATGACCTGTTGCTGCTCTGTCGACTTCCCGTAACGCATGCTGATACGGGATGTTTTTTTCAGTCAGGTCTATTCTCCACCGTCCTCACCGGGTTCATCGTTCCTTTCTATGTCACCCTCGCCGCCACACAGGCACTCATCTCCATGTCAGGCCATCTCAGCGTCGTCGCGGCTGATGCGGGACACACCACCATTGCCAACTGGTTGATCTCCCTTTCCGCTGACTCTCAGTTCTCTTCTGGACCATCATCCACAATCATTGCTGTCGCCGTGCTGTGGTTCGCCGCACTGATCCTCAGTCTTGGTGCGGCGTCGGTATCAATCTCCATTAGCCAATGGTTGCACCACCACGTTAATGGCACTTCGAAGACATCGCAGAGGAGCGTTCGTGTGTGGTTCTTCCGCCGCCGAGGATTGACACGCTGGGGTGTCGAGCAAGCTGTGGCTATTCTGCCGCTTCTGCTACAGTTTGCTCTTGTCCTCTTCCTCCTTGGCCTCGACATCCTTCTTTGGACGCTCAGCACTGCAGTGGCAGGCGTTGCAACCGTCCTCAGTATCTTGCTCCTTGTACCCACCATTTTCACAGCCATCATCCCATCCCTTTCGCCGGACTGTCCTTTCAAATCGGCGCAGGCGTGGTGGTTTTTCCGCTTCTGGAGATGGGCCATGCGGCAGTTCGAAAAGTTGTGGTTCGGCGGGACTGGAAGCGGAAAAATCATATGCAGGATCTGGAACCAGTGCTGCCGGACAGAGAAGTGGAGGACACGTCGGGACCTGCCTGCATTGGGAGACTGGAGGGAGCTGGACAACTTCTGTATGCAAACACTGGAGGATGTCGATGGAACCAAGCTGAAAATGCTTGTCGAGGCCAACTCGCGTGTCATGGACGAGACATTTCTCAGCACCGTCGTCCAACCTTGTCTTCTGCAAGCTGATGTCAGCGAAGCGCTTCTCGCATTCTACGAGATCGTGGATCACCGAGCACACGATCACGATCAAGACGAAGAACATTCACCACGCTGGTATTATCGAGAACGGGACTATCAGGTTGTTGACATGCTGGGGCACATGTCGATTGCCTTGTTTGAGAAGGTCGCGTCCAACGAGACTCGCATGGATGATGAAACCCGCAAAAAGGAGCAAAAGCACATTTTGAAACTTGTCAACCGTCTTCTAAATGGGATGCCGAGGACGACGTCCGGAGTTTACAGCTGGCTTTTGGACATGTGGGCGACGACAAACATCCCTGATGAAATACGCATCGATGTCGCCCTGTCCCTCGGTAGGCACCATTGGTGGTTCCACTCTGTCGGTATCGACACAAGTAGTACGTATTCAGTTCATACAAGACTGCTCGATCAGTCTGCTTATACCACGTCCACAGCTTGCCAGAAGATCGTCACATTCCTTTCAAACACCAGAAAGGAGCTCGGCAGCGGCATCAGATCATTCCAATGTTCAAATGCTGTATTGTGTCTTTCTGCGGATTTCCCTTTATCGCACTCTGGTCCATTATGCGAAGACATTCAAGGCGCGCTGGGCATTGTGGCGAAATATATTAGCTCGTCCGACATAAAGTTCGTGGCCCAGGAGATCACTGCAGCACATGAATGGCCGTATGTCTACCGCATGATTAAGGCATGTGCGAGCATCATCAAACGGGATGCTAGCCTGTTCACGAAGCATACTATTGACTCATTGGCGAGATGTGCTGAGCAGTGGCCCCCGGATGATGATCAGTATGCCAACACACAAAGGGCAATGAAGCGGATACGGAAGCGGTTTGCACAATCTCAGGAGAAGCAGTGATGATCATTTTCGTCCTTTCTTTCCTTATAACGGCTAACGACGCGGTTGCAGTGCCCTATTAAGGAACAATGCCCAAGAGACGCAGCTGACCATAACCGAAGAGCCGCAACAGGCCAACGCTGACACTTCTGAGAACAGTCACTGCCAAAAAGCACAACAGTTACAGCGATAATCGATGCGGATGCTTAGTGCTCATCGGGAGTTCGATTCCTGCTCGCCTGAGGTACTCAATGTTCTCTCCGGCTTTTGGTCCCGGCATTGAATCGACTAACGTTTTAGGTCCTATGATTATTTCTGCGTATGGCATAATTTGTAGGAGCACGTCGCGCACTTTCTACGGAAGGCATAGGCTACGTGACCTAATACAGACCGCTGCGGCAGTTCAAGTATTATAAGCATGCTCTCACGGAGAGTTCTCACCATGTCCTGCGGCTTCTTGAAGGAGCAATCATGTCGCATGCATCTCTACTGAGCGACTGCAGATATCTGATCAGGATCAGGCCATACAACAAATCGCGCCAGCAGATCATCTCACCTATTCCGCGCTTTCGACGGTTCGCCGGTGATCTGGAATTCGGACATCATGAGACTACATTCGTGTGTTTCAATGTGAGACAACACGCCAGATAACAAGACGGACACGAACTCGAGTCACCGGCGTAGACGGTAAGTGGCAATGCCGGTATGCCATACTACAAGGAGAGCATTCAACCACTGGTAGAGCAGAATTTTTCTCGACATGCGAAGACTTCAATCTGGACCTGCACCACTGGCATATGTAAATGCGCGTCGAGAATTCGGAGTGCAGATTCAGATCGCAATTGCCAGGCCTGGTAAACTCGAGTCGCGGACTGTTCTCTGCATTCCCTCATCCGGGTAACTATACGACGGGGTGACATACAGAGCTCGCTGAGTTACGTATAACAGTCGATAGTGTTAAGCACGGCGCGGTGGATATCACCGTTAGACCTGACGGCTGATCGATCGATCGCGCCTAGCATTGATGGGTGCTGATTTCTTTCATAGGACATGACCGCGCGGAATCATTCAAGACTCGAGTATTCTTCGTGACATCGTGGACGAAGGGTCATCTTGAGTGACCTCGCTATGAAACAGCGACGTGCTCGCTCGCGTACTTTGACCTGCCACGCGACTCAGAAAGAGCGCTTTTGAGTCTGCAGGCAGCATAATAGCCGCGTGCCGAAGGAAGAACTAGGCCCACTGGCGAGCGAGCTCCCTTCGCCGCGTCATTTGATTACCGTGTCATTTTTGTGACTATAATGGTGTGGTTCGCAGCGTTCACAAATCGATGCATGTATTTCTGTGTTCGAGCTACCTCGAATAGTCCCTCTTCTCGTTTAGCGCTATGATCCTAGATACCTACATCAATCCTCCATACATTCCGTCATCCCGGTGAGTTGGTGCACAATTATACAACTATCCAAGGTCCCATTGTTCATGAGTACCAGGGCATGTCATCAGAGAATATTCTCCATCAAAATCCCACTTCATGGTTCGCCTCAAAGAAGCCATGTAATCCAATCAGACGAATTCCGAACGATTGCAGAGGAGATTTCTCGCGCAATCACCCTGTCTGTCTGTTCCGACGGGTGCAGCTCGTCGTACCTGCGCGCGTAGCTATGTTAGGGACGACCATATGCAGCATCACAACTCTGCTCCGCCACGTACCACAGGAAGCTGTCGCGCGCAGTCCCTTCCGCGACTGTGCAATCCGCGGTCTCGCCAGTGCTCTCATTTAGCTGGAAGACGCACGAGTTGATGCAGCCGGTCACATTCAGAGGCGCTGTGCCGTTAAGGTAGTTCTGTGGATTGGCACGGATGTCTGAGATCAGCCCGTACGAATCAAAGAGGCCTATACTTTCCGATTAGCGACTCTGAGATGAATGTGCACTGCGCTCACGTACCGAGGTGAGCGCCTTCAAGAGTCGGAACCAGTGCTTGAAGCATAAGCGAGGCCAAAGCATTGTGCGACGTAGTCAATTCGGTCATGAATACGTTCCACTCGGTTGTATTCCGCTCCTCAGTCCAGTAGCGGTTCGGGTACGAATAGGTGGAATACAGAATTGTGTCTTGTAAAGGTAGCATCTGGCATGCAAATCTATCTCAATACATGCCTTCGGCTACTGCGTTTATAGAAGGTACGTACGTTCTGCATGATGAAATTTCTGGCTCCACTCGCATATAGAACCTTGATCCACTCGACTGAACAGGTTACCGTGTCGACGAGTGTCACACCGGGTGTTTGACTCCCTGTTAAAAGCGCGTTGACACCAACATCATTCGTGCCGATCCATAGGGTGTACATAGTGCTTGTTGGATCGAGTTCCAAAGAGCCGTTGTACTTGTCTGTGAAGTATAGGGGAAGCTGGCTTTCGAACACAGAGGGAAACGGCTTGTACGTCAGGTAGTTCGAGCACGTCGCGCCTGATCGCGCGAACGGATAGAGCGTGAAGTCGCCATACATGGCTGCGTATACTGGCCATGCCGTCGCATTGTCTCCAGGTACATACTATGTTGCCGTAGTCCAGGTGAGTGTCCCCAAAGGAATATGAGCGAGAGTAAGGAGTATCTACGAACCACATCAGAGTAGGAGTCCCCAAACGTCACGAGGTTCTTGATCTGACCAGGATATACACCCTGTCCCTCCCCGAGTTGCGCCACGGCGAAGATGACAAGCGTCGTGAGGATACCGAGGACTGCCATGGGAATGGGGCTCGCGCACGCACATCGTGCCGTTCTTTCTTATACGCGAGAGAAGCGGAACGGTCATGGGTACAAACGGCAGCCTCGGAACGCCATGTATTTGTCGAAGGCAGTGTGTGAGATGCTCCTGAGTACCGTGTGGCTAGGCGCGTGATCACCTCGCGGGCCGTGCAGATGGCACTCCCGCCGGGGAGATTTTTCGACGAGCTCATTCCGCACTCGGGGCAGGATATTTTCTGCGACATTCCCAACGTGGTACTGGCAAGCCCGAACTTCCTCCGGAGACGCGTCGCTTGCGCCAACGCGATCTGTCACATCCCCGTGATCATATAGTGACAGCGGCGTCACATCTAGTGTGCGATACTCAGCTCAGAGAAATTGAGGCCCAACGTCTTGCCTCTCTGATTATAATGCTGTGTCAAAACTGTTAATATCCCATCATGCATTGAGTGATAACGCACTCGCCAGGTGCTAGCTCGACAGATGTTCAAGGAATCCGGAACTATTACTCGCCTTGCATCCAGCACACAAATTTTCTTCCCCCAATGTACTCATGCAACCTGTCACTATTGCGCGGGATCCGATAAACTGGGTATGGACTAGCCCCTTTTCTGCACAAATGAGCCGTATATCATGCTACCTGGTACTCGCTCAGTCCCTAAGAATAGCCCACAAGCCATCGCTCAAGTGTGGGATCCTCGAGGATTATTCTTTTTACCCACTCATCCAAGTATCTAGCTGTTATGCATGCTACAGATGCCAGATTGCGGAGAATGTCCTCGTGACGTACGACCAATGTACGACCAATGTACTGTGCATCGCAGGCAGCGATATTCCATGTGTATCCATCTGATACTATACTGGTGAGTTCCTCCGACGCATTATTATCGGCCCGAATTGCTCATATTTATAAGTTCCCGAATAAGCGCTGATGACCAGGAGGTGCAAACGGTCTCTATGATGTCTGGAGGACAGACTTGTGCCTCTAACCTCCTCATCACATAGTCTTGCATTCATTCATCTTGGGCAACCTTAACTTAAATCGTCTTCCTTTAACGCTTGTGCGGACATAAACCGACCCGTGGCTCCACGATGCGCTAAGTGCGTGAGATCGACAGAGGATCCACCAGACGTCACTAGTCTAAGATTGTCTCAAAACCTGCGGATTGTGATCGTTCTACACCAGACCAGCCGATCGTGGCCTCACAAACCTGTTTCTTTCCCTATCATTCGTCCTCCGCGCTTCGCGGCGTGGCGGCCACGGGCAACACCAATGTCCTTAAAGAGCGCTCCACTGCAATCTGTAACGCCCGTAGTCCGATTTTTTGATGCCGGACGCCGCGTGCTTCAGACATCGTGAATGCAGTCAACTTGTCTTCCTCGAAGCACTGGTCGCAGCCAAGAAGACTGGCCTACGACGAACGCACCCGATCTAGGTGCTCCAGCAAAGTATGCTCACACATCTGTCTGTTGAGTACGTCATATCTTTCATGGTTCATGGCAGTGTATGTGAAACAGCCTTGTGTTAAACAGTGGCGTCGAGACGAATCTCGATCGGTTGTCCATATCGCAAATAGATGTCTACTCAAAACGAGGGGGATCAAATATTCTTCCATTCTACGGCCTTTCCTCGAGGTATTCACGGCTCCACCGCACTCTATCGAGGCTTCCGAGGCTCGCTGCCGCTATGCAAGTCGCAATTTCTGATCTACGCATGCCATTATGTATCGGCTGCGAAGGACAATGTTCTGGTACGCGTTCTATTAACATCCTTGTGGTATGGGGACTCCCGTGCTGATGCGGAGATAGCTCGCGCACAACACGCTACGCCCCGGCGGTATACCCCAATGCCTCTTATCCTCCATTGTCCGGGGGATCACCGCAAGCGACGTCAAGCATGCCTGGATCCTGCCACAATCTCTGTGAGGACGGCATCCTCGTATACGAGGACCCGAGATAAACTGTGGGATCGCGGTCGCGGCCTTCACATGACGCTCGAGTGTGTTCGACGAAAGTTCGCTCGGGCTTGTCGAGAGCCTAGAGTCCTGAGAAGGGCGCTGCACCCGTCAATGCTTTCCGTAAACATAGCGCTGATTCTCCATATCGCTACCGACATCCTTCATCTTCGACCAGCATCTCGGCGTATTTGCAAACCGTAAGTGCGATTTCGCTGTTAACCACTCGGAGCCGCCGAGCAAATCGGCCAACGTGTGCAGTGGCATCACCTGCTGCTGCGGGTGTACCTTGGTGGACTGTCCTCGGAAGCGTTGACCTTCTGATCAATATTCTTCATGGAGAAGGTCGATCCCTACCCACGTCCCCGACCGCTCCCAATGCGCTTGGCAGACGCATGCGAGCTCGCCTATGTGACAGCCTTCTCCCATCTGCTCCATAACACCGCGCACGGCATCTCTGCATCAGTCCATCTACGCATCAGGTCTTATCTTTATTGCTTCCAGCGCGCAGAAGCACAGAAGGTTAGCGTTGTGTTCAGGAGACTAGATCCCGCCTGTCATCAGTCGAGCATTTTCGACATAAGAGCGGAGGCGCCTGCAACATGGCAGGCACCGGTGTTGCGGATTGCCTTAAAAGCCTATCGTGCCCGCCGGGACGGCCCGCAGCTAGGGACGAGTTGGCTGACGGATGCATTTTTCAGCATGCATCACGTATTCCACTCGACGTGCTAACACATGACTAGCAGGCGAGCCGACTTGCAAATGGTGGTCTCCATGCAGCCCGCCAGCCTTGTGTAGGGTCGCTCGGCAATGTGCGATCGGTGTGATCGGACGTCATCGATGGTACAGATCGCCAAGGTCGTTGCCCCAGGTCAATAAATCTATGCTGAGACACCGTCTCGGAGCCGCAGCTCGGCGTGCTTGGGCTGCTTGGCGCGGGGAAAATGGCACAACGACAGTCGGGACCGGCGGCGCGGCAACAGAAATGGATTGAGACACCGGAGGGCGACCTCTGGTTCGGGCGATTTGTTGCCTCCGCGCCAGAAGCGGCAGATGCTGTGCGCGCTTTGTTTCCTGCGACCTCCCATTGGCTCTGACGCACATAGCTCCCTGAACATGGCGCACAGGCCGAGAGTTCCCCGGCGGAGCATGTGCGATCCCCATGCGGAAACGCGCGTTCAGGGAAGGGGAGCCTTTGTGCTGCCTGGCCGCTCTACCGCCTCTGCGTCCAGGATGAACCGATTGGGCCCGCGCGGACGCGGTTTGCTTTCTAGATGACTGGGCCTGGGCTGTCGTGCTGGGCGCATGGTAGGCATTCTGGTATCGATCTGGCAATGCGCACCTCACGCCTGCTCGTTTACAGGGCGCCACGGTAGATGGATGCAGACTCAGCTCTGTCCATGAGCGTGCTCTGGGCCACGGTTGGCGGGCACGCCGAGGCACGATCAGGCAATGGCAGCAGTGGGGTCCCCTTGTGTGGTACTCCGTTATCCTGTTCGCGTGACAATTCATTGTGCAGCTGGCTCGGCTGGTGTCGGCGCCGACGACGAAGAAGCCGAGCACGGAAGGATGCTTTCCTAATTATCCTGCTTATCTCGATAGAGTGGCTGACAGTGGGCTTGGCCCCACTGCTCGCATCGAAGTGATGAGGTCTGTCCCTTGGCGTCGAGGCATGGGGCATTTTGACATCAGCTTTAGGTGAGTTCATATTGCTGAGAGGATGTTCTGTCCGAAAGCACTCCTCCAAAGGCCATCGTTTTGTCGATGTTACTGAGCCTGTTCTTGTTACGTTGTTATCGAGCTTTCAGTAACCGCATCCTGTGTGCCGTCTTTGAACTGCGAAGCTCTTCGGGCTCCACCTCGTTGAGTTCAACAGAATGTCTTCTATGCTGCTTCATATCGGGGAGACATATTTTACCTTGGCAGCCGTCGGCAGCAGTTTCGCGAGAACGATCAGCGTGCTATGTTGCGAGCTCGATCGGAATGCTAACTAGAGTCGCAGTGCGTACAAAACTTCGATGATATAGAATAGAAAGTACTACTGAATGGCCGTCACCAATGTCACAGAGACTAGGACCCCGGTGAGCTGCGATCGGCCCCAACGAAGGACCTGACCCTACTCGAGCTTCCTAGGAAGCACATTGCAAATGCGTCCCTCAAATCTGTTCATCCATGATGTACGTGGACCCGGGCCTGTCCATGGCCGGGCTCTGTGTACCTCGTGTTCCGCCAGCGGCAACTTCGGCAATGGCCAACAGGTAGTGTCGCTGTCCGTCATATTTAGCCCTGCGACTGCGCTGACCGCTCTTCGCGACAGCGTGATTCTTTGTCTTCTGAGGGAGGATTCTTGTCTTCGTTATAGCGGGCTTATGGATTGCGAGGATAGAGACAGGCCGCCCAAAATAATGCGCAGCTTCAATGAATGGGCCGTAACACCCGAGGGTGTCCGCGGCGGCGGTTAGATAAGGGGCGATCATCTCGTTACGTCCGAATGATTATCAGATAAGACTAGTCCGAACTGATAATTCTATTCATAGTGACAGTGCCAAGACCGCTCGTCCGACAGCGGACGAGATTCGTAAGTTTTGACAGTATTCAAGGCTCTAGCGTTGGGAGCAAGCGGGATGGAGAGGAGAGGTCAGTCTGATAATATCCACATGACAGAAGCTGAAAGGGGAGCGTAAGCAGACTTCTATTCCCAGTTCTAGCGCACCAGCCGTGCTCCCCGCAATTCACCAATCGGGCGTGCCGATCTGCCGGCGCCTTCGATCGAGTCCTTTTTCGGGCCTAGCTCCGACTCCGACTTCCCCCGCACGCGACGTCAAACGCCATACTATTTCACTAAGATCCCATCGGCCTCTTGCAGAGTATCTGATAAGATGAGCGGCTCTGGTTCGTTCCTCCCTAGTGGTGCTCCCCCACCTGCTCAAATACTCGGCTCCCCTTCTCAGAGCCCCACGCGCTCAGGTTACTCTCGTCATGGACTCCCCTGTCGAAAACAAGGCGTCCTATGCTGCCGACAGTGCTGACGAGAAACAAGCCGCCGATGCCCTCTCCTACTCCTCCGAGTCGAGTGTCCCCCCGAGGCGGAAATTGCCCATACCATTGCAGCTCCTCATGATCATATTGACCTGCCTATGTACCTGTACGTCCCTCGCTTCTGAAAATGCGTGACACGTCATTTACACCGGCATCTGTCTAGTTGGCAACCACTGGTCCAATGTGAGCACATCCATACTTCTTTTACTGCTACTTTCATCTAACTGTCGCACTACTAGGGCCTCATTGTGTCAGTGAACGGGGGAACCCTTCGTCGGCTAGGCAGACGCTGACGTCCTTGTAGCGCACTCAAAACAACTGTCATCAAGGAGACCCACATAAACAACTCCCAGTTCGCGACATTGGTACGCCATGGTACATGCATATTCTCGCACATTCTAATTGGCATGATGCTGTAGGTTGCCATCACTAGTCTAGTCAGTGGCAACCTATGCCCTAGATAGCCGCTGATGCTAACGCCTGGATCTGCGGCCAGATCAACACATTCCTATGCATCGGCTTCGGTTTCTGTATAGACAAGTGGGGTGGCGCACCAACCTCGGTCGTCTTCGCTGGCTTCCACCTTGCCGGGTCCATCATCCTCGCGGGCGCTGCCACGAATAACCTCAACAGTTACCCTCTTCTTATTGCTGGCAAGGTGGTTGCGGCTATCGGAGACGGGTCGCTGGACAACGCTCAGCACAGGATCTTCTCAACGTACTTCGCTCCTGGGCGCGGTTTTGCAGGATCTATCGGTTAGTTCCCCCTACTTTCTCCCAGTTCAATGCTCACCCCAGTTATGTTTTTGATGACCGTAGGAGCAATATGGTAAGTTCTCGTCTTTGTTTGCAATGCTGAGGTCCTCACGCGACAATGCAGGGGCGTAGCCAACCTCGCGCAGTTCACCGGCCAGGCTACCGCCAACATTATCACGGAGCGTCTAGGCTCCTACGCCTATGCGATGTGGATAAGCGCTGCAATTGGTGGCTTCTCCTTCCTCTGCGCCGCCACTGTCGTGTTCCTCGACCGCTACCTGCGCACGCACTACGATATCACTGACCACACAAGCGGCAAGCAGCACACGGGTGCGACACGGCGCGCCGCCTTCCGCTTCTCTGCAATCCGCCGCCTTCCGATCACTTTCTGGATCGTCGTCGCGTTCGCCGTCTTTGAGAACGCAGGTGTGCAGGCGTTTGTGTCTATCTCGACGTGAGTCACGTGACCGCGACGGCTTTCTGCCTCCCTTTGTGCAGGAACCCGATGCTGATCATCGACATTGATCTGCACACGTAGGCAATTCGCGCAGCAACGCCTAAAGAAGGGCGCTGTCATTGGTGGATGGGTCTCGAGCTTCTATCTGCTGCTTCCCGCGTGCTTGACGCCGTTCCTGGGGATCTACATTGATGCCTTCGGGCAACGGATAAGCTTCTGTGAGTCGGCTGCTCTCTTCTACGTACGCGCACTGATGGAGCACCCGCAGTGCTCATTTCCGGCCTTACATTCCTCATTTCCATGCTGCTGCTTAGGTTTTCGGAGACCGTTCCTACCTTTAGTAAGTCATTGATTTGGCGCTTGAGCGGGCCTTATTAACCCCGCTCGCGTCCCTTAGTTGCGGCATATGTCTTTTACGCGCTGTCGCAGGTATGTATTGTCTTGGAATTCGGGCCTGGCCATTTGCTGATCGTGTCGATCCACAGTGCGTGACGCCAGCGCCGCAAGTGGAGATAGTGCGGAACATCATCCCTGACCCACAAGACTATGGAACCGGGTAAGTGGGCATGCGAGATCTTGCGTACAATCGTCGCTCATGGCATTGCCCATATCTGCAGATTTGCCATCAAGAGTACGTACTTGCGCCGGGCGGTGCGCCACGATCTGCTCACGAACCTTCTGTCGCAGAATCCGTAGTTCAGGCGTCAATTGTCATCATCACGACGGCGGCAGGCAAACTGCAGGACATGTCGCCGACCAACTCGCTCGAGTCTGCCGTGAGCCTTTGGCTTGCGTACGCCTTCATCTCCGTCGCGATCGCTAGCGTGCTCCTCCTCATCGCGTACATCTCGCCCGAGACGCTGCCCGCCGCGCGTCTTTCCGAGGTGTCCCCGCGTGCGCTACCCGCAGAAGTCGAGCGCCTTTGCGAGCGACGCGGTGTAGACATGCCGAAGGAGGAGCTCGAGGCGGCGGTGAGTGAGGTCAAGGCGAAGGAGCGCCGCCTGAAGGCTGTCGACCCGCGCGCAGAGTGGGCACGGTGGGCATGCCTCGTGGGGGGCGCTGCGGTCATCGTGATCGGGTGGATCATGTTTGGGCTCGGCATCGAGTGGGGCGTGCACGGCAACGTCATTGCGGGCACGGTAGGGTGGTAGATGCGCCATATGTAAAATGGAAAAGATAAAATGCATACCACACTGTAGTATAAGGACATCTTGGCTGGTCTGTAGTCTTAGCTTATTCGCTATCAATGCACCTCTCGCTTTCTTGGCACCAAGCACAGCTATACATGCATAGCAATGTGATGCTCGAAGATAGATTCGGCGCATCAGCCGCCGTGTCTGGCGTGCGGCTACGTAGTCTAGTAGAAGCATAACAGACGTATCACTGAGATCAAGTATCTGGATCGACAGGCCACGAACAGCCTGCTTTGATAATTAATAGTGCGCCTCATGCTTGACCTTTGGCTCGATAGCTATGCAATTGCTTTGGTCACACCCGTACGCCATGTACGCACGCATTCGACTTAGACACGCTTTGATAATGTAGCTATGTATATATATATGCTCCCTGGGTGCATCGTACCCATCGTCCAAATCTTCTTTTCACTCACTATGTGAATAACTTACTATAACAGGTTATGAGCTCCGTGCTCAGCTTGTGAAACGGACCAATCAAACTTAATACCGAGCTCGAGCTCCAACTCGCACTCTTGTCTTACATCGCTATGGCCAAATCTCTTTCTTTCTTGATCGAGGCGCTTACCGGAGCCGACAATTGGCGATTCTGGAAGGTACGCCTCTTGTACATCCTTGCTGATGCAGAACTCTGGGACTACGTGAGCGGCGGCCACACGTGCCCAGCGCCCGCAAAGGCAGATGCGAAAGAAGAAGAGAAGGCTGTGAGGGAGGAGAAAATCATAAAATGGAAGGCAAAGGGTCGACCAGCACTTACTGCGATTCGTTTGCGGGTAGCTGACAAAGTACTCATCTCAGTCAAGGCAGCCCAGACGAGTCGCGATGCGGGCACAACGCTCGAGACGATGTACGAGGCACGGACGTGCTCGCGATCGTCTAAGCGCACCGCACAAAGTCCCGCGCGCAGAGGACCAAGACGTCGAGGGATTCACTCGACAAAGGACGGGCTACCGGGATGACCTGGCAACACTCTAGAAACAGCCGCTCATCAGCCTCGCAGGATACTGCTGGATTTCTGGCACGTATCAGGATTGGAATGACGGCGAAGATTCGTGTTTGCTTCAGCTTGTAGCTAGCAAATATGGCAGAGCGAGTCAAGAAAGAGCCATGAAACGCCTGATCATGTGACTTACTATCGTAACAAGTGTCTGTCCTCCTTGAATTGGAAGCCATGAATCATAGTCTGCCCGCGGGAGATTACCTTCGACTATACTTCGAAATTCCAACCTTTTGCGCTGTCTCTTTCATGCCGTGACACTCATGTCATGGCCGTCGCGCCGCGGTCCTCCCAGACATTCACACGGCACGCCGTGGCTGCACATGCTAACCTCATCATAGCAAAGTGAGGAACAATCGTGGATCCAGAGACATCAATAGCGTTATAGCAGCAATGCACCACATGACAGCTCTATGAAATTCGAGTCCAAAAAGAAGAGTGCTTGCCTCGCTACTCGAAGGGCCTGGACGGCAGAAGCCTGCTGGTGTTCATCAGGTCACGGCTATCCAGAGGGTATAGGATTCCTGACCGTGATGGCCGAAGACCTCAAAGGTCCAGGCAAGAGACATTTCCCATCAACCTCCAGTGCGTTGCCACAATTCGGGAAGAAGTCGTCATGCAGACTGAGCTCGACTAAGCTCGACGTCTTCACCTTCACACAGAAGTGCCCTCTGTACGAGCACGGCCCGAATAAATTGATCACGCGCTCGTCCGTACCATATGCTTGACGGTTGCATGCACGAACCCATGACACAACCAGTGCTTCTCGTGAGTATAAGAGGCAAGTCCTCAACTCTGTACAGAGGCCAAATCGTTGGCAGTCCTCGAGTTCCTCACGACGCTTGTCGTCCTCGCCGCCGCACAGCTTGCTGCGACGCAAGGGCCGCAGCCAGGCCGGATCAAGAATCTCGTGACATTCGGCGACTCCTACACCGATGTCGTCAGTCCATAGAATTACGTGTACACAAACGCTCACCCAATCCATCCGACCCTAGTACCAAACCGGGGATGGCGGTACAGCGTGGCCGGTCTATGCCGCGATGTATGGCAACTTCTCGCTCTATCCGTACGCAAAGGCAGGCGCGACGTGCTCCAACAAACTCGTGGACAGACCA